ATTGCATGTCATGGGAATCAAAAGAGGTTGATCGGCTTGCAAGGCGCGATCTAATCACGAAGGCAGCTGCCGAAGTTGGGGAGAAAGCTCTCATACATACAGAGAAGAAGCGCCAAGTGCGGGAGCGACAAGCAGCGATGGGTTGTACTCCATCGACATCGAGCGCATGGTGCTGTAGCACATGCGGTCGTTAGTGCCTGAGTCAGGCAGGCCTAGTGAGCCATGAGCGAGGCCACTCGGGACCACTACCGAAGAGACGACGGGTCCTGCAGAGAACGTACGTAGAACCGGCGCAGCGTTTGTAGGCACGCTGCATTCGATTTACTACCCGCGTGCTTGTATGCTAAGTCTCTGTATTTCAGGTGGTGTGTTTGCAATTCTGTCCTAATGCTTTTCTTTCTCATATAAAAATCTACCTGTACTCTCTTCTATAAACTTGCACACGTCGCTTAAGCCAATTGAAGTTAATTTCGATAACCTTTTCGTGTTTGTGACACTTCCGTAAAATGTACTTTCTGACCTCGTGAACTTTTCTCGGGTTCTTTTGTAAACAACTTATTACATATGCTCAGCAATTTAAGATTCATGTCACCGTTTCCTTATGCATTACTCGATTTATTTGATTTGTTATCTTTCAAGTGATTGGCTGTTGCTTGATATCCCCGGTATGGCTGCGCTTGATATGCATATTGACAAGGTGCCTACCTGTCTATTACCCACTACCTCGTTCATACTGGCTCTAGGAGACGGTTGATCGTTGCTGGAGCTGACTAGGTGCACGGTCCTTGTGACCGTATTAGGATCAAGAGTGGTTCCATGCAGTCAGTGTGGAGCGGACTACGGTCCAGCCATTTCCTTGTGTGCGCTTGATTCCCCAAATACAACGTGCTTGTGTTTGTCTGTGAGGGAGTGTGAGCCGGCTCCATTGATGAAACATGGCTCCCATCCACTTGCCTCCCGGTCTTATTCCTTCGGGTTTACACTGGATATGGGGTGTGTGGTTGGAGCTGTGGGTGGTGCAGCGCAAGCCATCAATGGTCCCTCTGTAGGCGCAGGCGTCCTGTGGCTTACCACAGTGACAGGCAAATCCGAAACCGGATGCCGCCAACCATATATCAAGCGAACCAATGGCTTGGTCGTACTTACACATTGCATCTGTGTCCTTTGCGTTTCCGTGTTCTTACTTATCATAATTTCTATATTTAAGAGTCTTTACTCGCTCGCCTTGCAGCTGCAACAATGGTTCGTTGATGCCGTAGAATTGGTTTGATGGTGTAAAATCCTTTCTCCTGTAAACCAGGCATTTTTCCTCCTACTTGTGTAATGAAAGCTGCAGTCTAGGCAGTCATGTGACTGAAATACAGTACCCTTAGTGCAGGCCGCAGGTGAACTTGTAACAGGCCGCTGTTTTGACATGCCAGAGCTAGAGTTTGAATCATGATAAAGGTTAGGACATGCGCTCACACGTGATACCATATCATAGGCATCAAATACCCACCCATGCAGCTGCATTCATCTCCTCCGCGGTATGACCTCTTTCAACATCGGACATTAATCTGCTAATGGCCCGAGGTAGTTGGACCGACATGGCTGATGATGGGGTGGAAGCTGACGTCATCACTCCGGACTTCTCCAAACCTTTCGACCGTTTGGATCACCGCATCCCATTTCACAGGCTACATAGCTACGGAACCGGAGATCCTGTTCTCGGTTAGACTGGCAACTTTCTTCACCAAGGATAGCTTCAAGTGCGTGGTAGTAGATCACTCTCTAACCCGACTGAGGTGGAAGATGCTTTCCTACAGGGCTCGGTGCTGAGACCGCGCTTGTTCCCGGTGTTTATCAACGATCTGCAGAGAGTTATCTCAAATTTCCTCCTTTTCGCCGACGATGTCATTATATGGCGAGCGATAATCAACAATGGAAATCACGATCTACTCCAACATGACCAAGATTGCTTTTATGAATGGTCAACAAGGAACCTGCTCCGATTCAACACAGCTAAGTGAAAGTGATCCATCTGCGTCACTAGCCGGTGCGTGTTTACAAGTTTAGAGACCACACCTTGCAAAGGCCTCTCAGGAGCGTGACCTAGATGCACTAGTTCCATAAGATCTTGGATGCTCAGAACAAGCCGAGATGGGGTCGTGAACCGGCAATCAACACTTGGGACTTCTTCCTAGAGCCTTCGGTCGGTTTGAACCCACAATATTTCCCCAAATGCTTAACGCCTACGTACGAAAGCAAGTGGAATCTGCTATCCAGGAGTGGCATCCGTGACAGAAACAGGGTCTCGTTGCTCTCGATACTCCTCAACGAACGGTAACCAAGAAAATCAGGGGCCTACTTCATCTACCCCATCAGTTTAGAGGGCAATTTCTAAGAAGCTATAGCAGTCGATATCGGCGTTTTCGGAGGGATCTCATCGTGGTTTACCAGATTCTGAAGAACCCAAACCACATTTCTCCCCCGCTGGTGGAATTGAACCACAACACTAACCTAAGAGGCTATCCCTTGAAACTGACAATACAATATAGGCGGTTTGAATGCTGTAGAAATTTCTTTTTCATCCGCGTGTGCCAGCCTCGAAACGCTCTCCCGAATTATGTCGTCTCTGCCCCAAATCTGGCGATATTTAAAAAACAAGTTGGTGATGCGTTGTCTCATTTGCATAACATTTTTATAACTTGTTAACAAGGGATGTGCAATAAGCAATCGAACTGTGTCTTACCAAGCTCCCAACCAACGAATTTATGGATTTACTCTTTTAATGCGTGAACATCTCCACTATTCTACATAAGCCTATGGTGAATCCACCAAAACGATTTGCATTTTATCATAAAATTCTACATTCGAAATAGTTTCCATCCCATAGGACTTGTTAAGCATTGCTTTGGTACCTACAATACACCATTGTTCCATTTAGTTACTCGTTCGATCGATTATGCTTACCTGAGCATTGTGGGTTGCACAAGTTTGTCTACCTCGCATCTCCGTCCACTGGACGGTAAACTTTTAGGATAGGCCTAGCGAGCAGAAAGGGATTGTTCAAGTTCAGGGTCATGCCTTTATATTATGACATCACTATGCTCCCGTCAGCTGCGTGATGTCGATGGCAACGCCGTATTGCTGCTCAGTCACCTCTGACTGCAAAAGTTAATCGGCTTTGCAATGCCAGGGGATGCATTGTCACTGAATATACCATTCGGTCTTACTGACATGAGATGTGATCGCACATTGAACAATGAACAATGAATTCAAACGAGTTCAGAAACACTGCTTTACAAATATCGTTGGGTACTTTGATGGAGATATCGAAATAATAATTAAGATGACAATTAGGGCCTTAAAGATGCAAAGATGGACTCATTGTTTGCTCCGCTGTAGTCCTTCAATCCGCGTAGATTCACCACACACACAGTCAACATCAAATCAATCCATGGTAAACTTCAAGAGTAGGATAGAGACCTAGTGCTAAGTAACAAAGGGGAAGTGGATGAGTACGTTACCCAACCGTCTTTTCAATATTGTTACTGTCGGTGCGGAGACGATCGATCCAGGGAGAGCATTCCACGGGTGACATATCCAAATGAAAAATAACTTCCTGCAGCACTCTAGACGGCTATTCTGTTCCCCGAGTTTCAATGGGTGGCCTCTCAGGTTTACATTGTTGCTGAGTTACAGTAAGGAGCGGCACGATGTAATTTATCTTCTATTTCTTACTTATAAATCATAGGCACTGTTACCCCTTTGAATTACTTTATCCTGTAACTGGGATTGTAAGTTTGCTGTATCATATGACGTTTCCATACTTGATTTGGTCTGTATCATGTCTGTGAAGAAACAGACTGGATGGGAACTTCGTTGGTATTTTGTTTCTTCTCTGGCACAATGATAAAACACGATCCAGAATGCGAGGAAAGTCTCGAAAGATCAACGGCCCGATGAACCATTACACAGCCTCACAAGTTTTATTTATCGCTGTTATACTTAATGTAAGATTGACGTACTACCAAAAGTGAATCAAATGCTGAAGACCTTTTGGGCATAGGTGTAATGTCGTATGAGAATTTCCGCAATCAATTTCTAGACAAGTGGACCAACATATACATGGAAATGTTAAGCGGTCAGTTCGTGCTACTGATAATCGTCAGCAAAGCACATTCCTGCAACATATCCGGGAGTAGAATCAATGAGCTGTGGGTACTGAACACTTGTTAAACACTTTTCCGAAAGAAACAAATGCATTCATTAAAATCAGATTGAAGCTTTTGCACTGAAACCACCGCAATATTATCCGGTTGCATTGGAACAGCTTACAACACAGCTCTAAGTTGTATGTAGGTGGAGGGATTTATTAGGCTTTTGTGTAGATTCGTCACAGTTAGACACAGGCAGACAACCAACATACATACAGGAAAGCGCTAAACGGCCGTTTCGTCCTTCTGGGACTCGTCTGTAGCGCGCGAATCCGGCAGCATTCGGCGGGTGCGCGTTAGTTACGAGTCCCAATAGGACGAAACGGCCGTTTAGCGCCTTCCTGGATGTGTGGTGGCTGTCTGCCTGTGTCTAACTGTGACGAATCTACACACAAACATCCCTAATTTATCAACATTCGCATGTCATGTGCCACGGGATTTCTAAAGTGCAGCATAAGTAAAACGGAAGTTTGCGAGTTACTGTATGCACACCTGATTATCAGTATCATCGTTTGTGCTATTGTTTGGTATTCGACCAATGTTTGTATTCGTGCAACATATTGACACCGATATTTTTTGATATCATCCAAAGCATTTCCACCGTTGACCCAGAGTAAACAGGCACTGTATTGCTACCAGTTTGCCAAGTCATTATATGCGTCCATACATTCCTAACAGACGGGCAAATATTGGAAACAACTTATAGTAGTGATTTTACAAATTTCTATTAATGAACAAATTTGGCCATTCATTTCCAATACGAAAGAATGAATTCTTTTAATCAGTTGACCAGCTGAGTCCCTATCTTCCTGTTTGCGTTTTCTTCTTGTTGCTTATTCCCTCTTTCTTAGATGATACATGGTAGTAACTGTGTCTTTTTGAAAGCAATTTATCAACTTCCATGCATGTTTGGGATAATCGATGAAGCGGGTGTATACCGTGATAAGGACTGTGTTGCACAGCGCACATAGCGTCCGCGTTCGACTTATCCAGAAGGCTGCTAAATGTATAAGCGCTACAGTTAAACGGAGCACTGAGGTTGTTTTCGTTGGATAAAGCACCGCACTTCAGCTGTGCTGACTGGCTTACATTCTCCTCCATGGATAAATCAAGATATGGCTTTCTGGATGCTGGGAAGTTCATCAGTGCGACCTCGGCCGCAGGGTACATATTCGGTTCCTCGTGACCCTCTGAATACTCTTGCATCCCCTTCGATACGATCTCAGGACTAGTATAGTACTCGTGGGAATTGTACAATGCACTGCAGCGTTGGGAACCGCATGAGCTCTTTCCACAATCCTCTTCGTTGTGATCGACGCCCGAAGTAGTGGACGCTCTCTGAATTGCCGACGGTATGGAATCCCGCGTATCCGACGATCGCGTCTGATGCGATCGCTCTAGTTTTCTGAATTTGGCCCTCCTATTTTGGAACCAAACCTGTGCATAAAAGATAAGATAATAAAGTATTTTAACAAAAACTTGACTCATTTGGACAATTAAGAATTCTTGTTTTTCGTTACGTTTCGTATGCAAGCTAATGAATGTTTGGGATTTGTAAAAGAATATAAGCCTAATGAATACCCCAGGTCAAAAAGTAATGAAGATTCTAAAATACGCCATCTTACTGTGTGACAGTTGAACATCTTGCCTACTTTTGTTGGTAACTGACCCAAAGTTACTCGTCTTTGATGCGTAGACGAATAATGAAATCACATGCATTAATAGTCCGGCAGGAAAGTCAAGGTAAAAAGAGGAAAATCACATATTATGGTGTCTGTGAAATGCGGGAAGAAGACGAACACAGGCAGATGCACCTATTTCATATTTTCTCCTCATTAGCATTAAAAATAACCGACAGGCCTAGATTTATCAAAAATTTGGTGCGACCAGACATGTATGAGATTCAGTGTGAGTGACGGAAGTTCATACCTATATCCATGGGAGTTTTAAGCTAACTAAAAATTGTGTTTGAACGCACAGAGCTGACTACATCTGGCTTATTGCGACCACCACAACAAACTGAAGGAAGCGTGGATTAGCGTGATGCAGCATAACTGTGAACACTGAGCTCAGCTCTATCTAGTGACCCGAGACCAATAGGTGTTTACCTATCGAGAAAGCCGTCAGCCAATGCGAGTACCGGGGTTTAGAGAGTAGGATTTTGGGCGAATTCGTGCTGGACCTATGTCGGCACATCCTCCTTTAATTTGCGAATGTTTTTGAGTAGTGTAAAGTTCGTAGAAAGTAGAAGTCACGATTAAAATTCACACACAATAATGTGCCTCGACGGGGAATAGAACCCCGGCCCAACGAATTTCCGGTCCGTTGCTCTACCACAGAGCTACCGAGGGCTGACAATTGGGTGCGCAATTTTTAATACATGACTTCTGGTTGGTGCGCGACTTATTGCCAATGGGCTCACAGTATCTGTCCTGGTGTTGCAGATTGGCTCACTCACCCGTCACTTCCTTTAGTCGGGAACTCAAAGTTCTATCAGTTCTGCCTGTGTAACTGCTTCCACAATCACAAAGCATTTGTTATAATCAGCTTGAGTTGATCACTATATGCTACTACCTTCTCTGGAGGGACTGGCAAGCTTCGGGTTCGGTTGATAACAAAAACTTGAGCAGCGCAGTAACTTCCCTGCATAGCCGATATTAATAGCTTGGTCAACTTTAGCGTGGTAAAATCACCTCGAAAAGCTAACTCGATCTAAGCCTTCTTCTTGGCTGTCGTGTTTACCAAGTTCTTTGGTCCTCGCATCTGGCTGTATTTATCGATAAATGTTCAAGGGTAGCCGTTCGCTACCAGTGTTTTTGTAAATAAGGTTAGCTCATCGACCAGACTGTCGGCAGAGCAAATTTGTCTGGCCTGACTAACTGGGATCTTTACAAGTGTCTGCTTTTACTGCACTGCTTTGAAGCTGGTGAAAAGCAAGTACTGGCCGGGCCAAGTTAATCTACGATAAACGGAGCTCTTAATCAATCCATCATCCGAGCGATGGGCAAACACCTATTGGTCTCTGGTCACTGGATAGCGCTGAGCTCAGTGTTCACATTTATGTTGCGTCACGCTAATCCACAGTTCCTTTGGTATGCTGAGGCGGTCGCAATAAGCAGAATGTAGCTAGCTGTGTGCGTTCAAAAACAATTATTTGTCAGCTTAAAACTCCCATGCGCATAGGTTTGAATTTCTGTCACTCACTATGCACCTCTAGAACGTCTGGTCACACCCAATTTAAGCCATATGTCTATATAACGATTATTGCTGATGGTACTGAGGAGACAATACGAAATGCATGCATCTACCAGTGTCCGTCTTCTTTTCGCGCTTTTCAAATTACTGAAGGGAACTAATTGCATTAACTTATGGTGTCGCCTGTTTAAGCACCCACTGTTTTCAAATGGCTGCTAAAATAATTGTAACTGGATGGTAGCACATAAAACAAGTTTCGTCACAGCCAGCTTCCAAATCAGATAGTCGTCCACATGCAGACTGCATTTTCAGCCTACTGTGCATCATCAGTAGTGCGTATTCATCGAATCCATCAGGATTCGAACCCATGATCCCCAGCGGCTTGCACCGCCAGTCGGCAGCTAATGCCCCTGGGCCACAGGGGTCAGTTTCGGGCCATCATGATTTACAAGCCAAATGTGATACAGCGCGTATTATCCACCAATGCCATGTAAAGGCACGATGCCCATTAACAGTAGTTATGTATGATATGGCGTTTAGAAACTTGAGAATAGACATATTTACCGCTTTTGCGGAAAATTTCGAATAAAACGCACACTAACGTCCGGTTTCCAAGCATCCATATGATACATAACTCCAGCACGGATAAGTCATAATGATATTCCATAGTGGCACAGTTTATATGACTGGTGGATTAGAACTAAGATTGATATTCAATTGCTTTTTGTAGGTCTCTAAGTATGGCAAGAACCAACTGATTTTGGAAACCTATCTGAGCTCGCATAGCACTTCGAAATTTGCGCGGATTTCGTCGGGCCCACCCCAGACCTACGAACAACACGCGGCGGCTCAGACAGCGCAATTAAAAACCGAGCCATTTCCAGGACATTGATGCTAAACCACCGTGAACCAAGTGAACTCCGTTCAGGACACTGATACATCTACTATACAAGCTGCAGTGAACCACCTAAGCTCCTCAGTTGCTGCGGCAGTTCCTGAAAAAACCCCAGGGACACAAACTGAGTTTCCCACTACCACCGCGTGACAACACATGTGCCTTGCCAACTCTATAGTTAATACATTACACAGTTATTATATCGAGCTATAAATAGGAAAGTGTAGAAGGCATGCTTCGCCTTGGCTGAGTCAGTAAAATAACTTGCTGACAGCTAGTCTTTCTTTCTCCTTCTGGTCTCAGTGCATTCGTGTGCTGGGTTACATGTTTTTCATCTCCAGTCTTAGATCGGGAGTACGTATGGCAGCTAGGTCTCGTTAGACCGCAACGCTACGAATTTGATTGCCAACTCTGCGCGCGTGGGGTACTATCTTGAAGAGCATTCGTCCGTTCCGACTAAGAGTCGAAACAACTAGGACGCAGTATAATAACAAATAGTTTTAAGACTTGCAAGCCCGAATGGAAGAGTCATTCGGTCGACATTTGAAACAACTGTAATGTTCGCCTCGTGTACATATGTAAGACATGGATTTCCAGAAACACACATGCAAACGCTTATTGTCCTTGAAACAGCATGGTATTACCTACACAAGAGTGATCTGGGCCAAATATGGACACAGATTCATACTTTATGGGAAACACTTATTGTTAGTTTAGAACTTTGAAGCAATCAGATGTATGGGAAGCAGTGTAAACGGGTGCGCAACCTGGCTGGTTTCTGAACACCACACATTTCTCAAGCGAAACGCGAAATACCGCAATCACACATCCCGGTTCGCACGCCTCGACTCGATTCCAGTCCCATCTCTCATTCAGTGGAACACGTTGAGTACGCCTGTCGTCATTATTAACGTACCGTTTCTTCACTGTATTAACAATCCTACTCCTATTTCCTGGATTTGTGTATGCTAATTTTGCAGTTTCTGTAAACGCTATGCAATAGACTTCGCACCGCTGCACATCGTTTTTCTATTCATTCCGTCGAGAAATACGATGTTGCGGCTTAGGAACTTTCTAAACGTTTTCAGGACCTCTTCATAAGTGTCAGGTTTTGCTTTAATTCATTAATTATACCCATTCAGATATTAGAAGCACAACACTTGCGAAGAGAACTATTTTCGGCAATGCAATTCAGGCAAATACAATTACAAGTAGATAAACTCACAGGTAAGCGAACGTTGGGGATTTGATTGTTTGAACGAAGTCGATCACTAGTCCACTCAATACAGTCAGACGTCGTGAGTCGCTCGAGCACGCTCGGAAGCTCACACACGCACAAAGCACAGATGCGTTGGCAGGCAGGTCTACTATGGTCACTCTCAGTCGTAACTGGGGTCCGACATTCCGCCTACGGCAACAGTATAGATTGTATCAGTGTTCTCTGCTTGCATAAATCCTTCTGAAGTATTATGATTGCCATAGCTTCAGCGGTGGCTAACAAGCGCTTTCTGATTCCTTTAGGGGTGCGCCTCGGTGCCATGTAGACTACCTTAACTGCGTTATTAGTCCGAATCTGATGGGCGGTATAAAGCAGATGTTCGAGGATCGAGCTGCGTACGGTCTTAACCATACCATGCTGCAAAGAGGTAGGGCAGTGCTCTGCTATCCGCCTAGATAGACACCTGGTCGTATGCCCGAGGTACCTTGCACCACAGGTGCAGGCAAACTGATACAGAACAAATGATTCGGAACCAGCCGGGATTCTCTCTTTGAGGCGTTGCGTGACGAGCGGAACAGTTTCAGCAAATATATGAACTTTAGCGGCCGGATATGTCTTGCTCACCGCCAGTGATAGTCTCCTATTCAGTAAGTCAAAAGCGACATCTCCTTTGAAAGGAACTGAGAGGTTAACATCCTTCTTTCTTGCAGTGGGTATCGCTTTAATTTGAACAGAAACCGCGGACCAGGGTTACAACTGTGAGTGACCATAGTAGACCTGCCGGCCAACGCATCTGTGCTTTGTATTTGTATGAGCCTCCACGAGTCCTCGAGCGACTCATGAAGTCTGACTTTATTGAGTGGACTAGTGATCAACTTCGTTCAAACAATCACATCCCCAGAGTTCGCTCACCTGTAAGTTTATATACTTGTAATTGTATTTGCCTGAATTGCATTGCCGAAAATAGTTCTCTTCGCAAGTGTTAAACTTTTAATATGCTTTAATTCACTGTGTCTATAAATAGGATCCCTCTCATCTGTCCAGTCAAGTAGCCAGAAGCACCAATGCTAATCCATATTCTTACATTTTCCAGGTACTATACGCATGATTTTAACCTTCTGATTAGGGTTGTTGCGAAATCCTTAATGGTGGTTTGAGAATACATTCAAACGAAAATCTTACTTGTACTCTGGCCTCTGTCAAATCGATTCTCACAGCTATATCCTCGCGCGTATAGATATCAGGGTAGTGTGTTTCTTGAAACAATTTTTCCAGTTCTTTCAACTGAGAATTTGTGAAGGTGGTTCGAATTCTGCGTTGCTTCCGACGTTCGTGTGAAGTCGTTGCCGCTGATCGTATTGACTGAGTAGTTTGTGCAATACAAGGCGGTGTGTAGCATCGTAGGACTTGAGGATTGGGTGTGGATGATCTCAGCTGTTGGAGTGCCCTAATGGAGGTCTCGGATCGGCTGGGGAAAGGGGTGTCCGTGTCACTTACTTTATTGTACAGAGAGCCTGGTCGAACTTGCAGGGACGAATCAGGAGAAGAATCCCATGGTGGAAGGCCATCAACTGTGGATACCGTCATTCTGCCGAATGCCACATCACCGTACGATGGAGGGAACGGACAGTAAAGTCCGTTAGCTCGATAAAATCTTTGGGCATTATCTGCGGTTTCTGAAGTGTAAAAGCGAGTATGGGCAATTTACTGGATTTGTTTTCAATATGAGTCGAAAAAGGGAACATTACCAGTATAGACGGGCAGCATTACGCAATTCATCATAGTAAGAAATACACACTACTTGAATATCCATTGTTTCCGTTCTAATGCTCTTCAGCTGTCACTTGAGGTTACTGAGAGCGCAGAATACGTCTTGTGAGTGGATGAGATTATTTTATTTTTGAGCACCCTCGATTTGCGATCCAGCAAGACGGTTCTGCGCAAATGACTCCGTCAAAAAAAACAGGCAATTATCCTTCATTCCCGATTTCCAATGTAAAAACCAAGTTTTCATCAACACCCAGGTTTCTCGGCATTAAGTGCGCCGCTGGTCGGCAAATTTCTAGAGCCTAGTGTTTGATACTTCAAAGCTTACTTAAGATCGCTGAAACGTTTAGGCTGAGGAAACAACTTTTGTATCTCGTTGTTTCTCAAAACTCCTACTGAATATATTATACGGTCTTAGGGACCCTATCTTTATGACATTTTAAGTACAAACCAAATTTATAGAACTGGAATTTTTGAATGATCATTCCATACGTGTTTTCGCTATATGCAGAACGGGGTATTCATGAACAGCTGGCCTGCCGAACTACCTCCTCGTGGTGCCAGCTGGGTGGTTCGGGTGTACCCCGTTCCAGCAAAGTGTTCGGCGACAATGTTCCACCTCCGTGGGGCATTGTATTCCAGCAATTGTGCTGACTTCATGGTTAGTATTGGGCCCCTGTTTGATAATCTACCAAACAAAGACGCATGAGCTGATCATTCAGTCAACGCCTCCCAATGGGCGCGATTTCCCAAATTCGCCCCGCTGCCTTGCGGGCAGGTTATTTAGCCAAAGGCTCGGGGCGGAGTCCCCAAAGTCAACTCCCTACTTCGGCTTGGGCAACCGGGTAGTATCACGCCTTCTCACAAAATCATAGACTGTACTACAACGCGCTCATCAGCTACTGTTCTTGCTACTCACTTTCACGCTACTTCACTACATGCCCATTGTTTGTTTGCTAACAATCCTCACTTTCCGTTACCCGATTCATCTCTTCAACAACCTGGATGCGATTCCGGTTGCTCCGCAGATCAAGGAGTTCAACCTATGGCTCTCCTTTGTCCCCGATCCTCGTTCCATCTGGCGTGCTTCAACGTTCGGACATTCATGCAGAATGGACAGCAAGCCGGTCTAGCGCGCACCCTAGATTCCCTCGGTAGCGATGTCTGTTGCCTTTCAGAAACCTGATTGCAAGATCCCAGCACTGTGCTTACATTGACATCCCCCACTGACCACGAAGCCAGATGTCACCTGCGTCTTTCTGGAGATCCAGAAGCAGCCTCAGCTGGTTTGGCTGGTGTAGGTATAGCACTGAGTGACAAGGCCGAGGCGGCACTACTGGACTGCTTCCCGATTAACAGCCGACCATGTGCAGTTCGGCCTCGGGGTTCATGTAGAATCAACAGGCACCGCGAAGAGAGACGCAACTTGTTTGTGATCTCTGTCTACGCTCCAACAGACTGCAGTGGCGACTCGGTCAAGGACAATTTCTACCGAGATCTACATCAGCTCTTGACTAATGCTAAAAGGTCGGATGTCGTTATCCTTGCTGGGGATTTTAATGCATGTGTTGGCCGCCTGTTACCATACGAACGCCACATTGGTGGTCATCATGCGCTCGATGAGAACCGCTCTGATAATGTAGAGAGACTTCTTACATTGTGCGAGGACAACCGTCTGTTTGTTTCGAGCACTACCTTCAGGCGTACGAAGAAGCGTCCCGCAACGTGGCGTCCCCCTTCGCCAGCACAACCGTGGTCTCAGATTGATCACATTGCGATTAGCTTCAGATGACGCGGTAGCGTACTGGACAGCAGGTCCTTTTGGTCCACTTTCGTTGATTCAGATCATGCTCTGGTCTGTGCGAAAATCTGTGTGTTTTGGAGGATCCCAAAACACGAAGCACCGCAAGATTGATGTCAACAGATTAACTGATCACTCGGTCCAGGCGAGCTATCAATGGTTCAATGGTTCAATGGTGTATGATGGGGTAAAAAGCATAACTTTACAATACCCACAGGATGGATATGCGAAAGAAAATTAAAAGCAAAATGTTCCAAAGTGGAACGTAAAGTATCAGTGGTTAAATCATTGCACTTTAACAAAGTGTTATGTATCGTTTATCACTCAGTTGCAATCCACCGCAAGAAGTGGAACAACACTGGACTTGGATATGTAAAGCGCTGACTATTTCCGGACAGCGGAGCTGCGGCCTAACTCGACGTCCCTTGAAGGATTGCATCTCTGCTCGTTCTCTGGAGCTGTTCGAACGCCGCAAAGATTTCCCGGTGGAATCAGATTGCAACGAGTGGCGCCGTTCTGCCAACCGGCTGCTCAAGCAAAGCCTACGCAAGGATCTCGAGACATGGTGGTCTGAGCGTACTTTAGAGATGGGGACCGCTGTCCTCTCTGGCAACACTCGCAGGCTTTCCAACTCATTCGGTCCACTGGCCTCGGGAAGCCTGGTGTCAATGAGGTCATTTGTGAGGTGGATGAGTCTCCGATCATATGGACGTATCGACCGAGCACTTTCACTAGCAGTTCAATTGGCCTCCACCATCCATCAGTACATGCAGTACACCTTTTTGTCCATCCTGGCTCGTCCCATTGAATCCATCCAGCGAAGCGGAAGTCTACCTCCAAGTTCGATGTTTGAAGCGCTTCAAGGCTGCCGGCTTAGACGGATTTCCTCCGGAGCTATTCAAGTATGGCGGTGTGGCGATCATTAACCAGCTAACCGCGCTGTTCGCAAAAATTTGGCATGAAGAGAAAGTGCCTTCCTCTTGGGGCGAACCAGTTATTGTCCCAATTTTCAAGAAAGGCGTTCGCACTTCATGTGCGAATCATCGCAGGATTAGTCTTATTTCGGTTGCCTCTAAGCTGTTGTCATCCATTCTGCTTCGTAGACTATCCCCAGTACGTGAATCATACTACCGTGAAGAGCAAGCTGGTTTCCGTCCTGGCCGCCCATGCGTGGATCAATTCTTCACTCTCCGCCAACTCCTTGAAATTCGCCACATTTATCACAGGCCCACTATCGTTGCATTCCTAGACATACGTGCCGCTTTTGACTCCGTTGATCGACCCGCTTTATGGCGTTGCTTACTAAAGCAAGGGGTGCCAGAGAAATATACTGCCATCTTACGAGCACTTTACCTCCATACATCCGGCTGAGTGAGGGTCTATGGCAGGCTTTCCTCGCAATTCGCTGTCAATAGCGGTGTGCGACAGGGCTGCCCTATGTCCCCATTCCTCTTCAACTTCTCAATCGAAGACGTTCTGTCCAGTGCCCTAGAAGGTTTCCAACATTCTGGCCTAGAGCATCTACCGGGTGAGCGCGCGACCGAGTTAGATTATGCTGATGATATCGCCTTACTTGGTGACGATCCTCAGGGTATGCAACTCATTCTGGATCGTTTGGCGGTTGAAGTATTTAAGTATGGCATGAGCTTCGCCCCATCGAAGTGTAAAGTACTGCTCAAGGGTTGGCTTTCACCTACTCTCGTGTTCACTCTCGAAGGTGCACAACTTGAACAGGTAGATAGTTTCGTCTACCTTGGGAGCTGTGTTTCTGCTGACGGCACTAGAAGTTTTTCTTCGTATCACTAAAGCTCGATCAGCATTTGTCAATCTGAGGCATTTGTGGCGTTGTCGCGACGTCTCATTCTCACTAAAGGGCCGCATTTACAGCTCATCAGTTGGCTCAGTATTGTTGTATGGGTGCGAGTCCTAGCCGATTCGCGTGGAAGACATGCGTCGTCTTTCTGCCTTTGATAACGGTTGCCTAAGGTGGATCGCTCGTGTTTGGTGGCACCATCAAGTTAATAGTAATGACGTTCGACGTCGCATCATGGGGAATGCAAGTATTTCCTTCAATAAGCTGGTTTTGTTGCGCCAGTTAAGATGGCTCGGTCATGTCTTCCGCATGGCACCTGAGCGTCTACCGCGTCCCACTCTATTCGCTCGTCAAGGATCTGGCTGGAAGCGACCGCGTGGTGGTCAGCGTTCCACTTGGCGGCAGAACATGAAATCGCTGACGTCGTGTCTAGCCGCTGTTAGATCCGTACGTCTTCCAGGATGGGGACCCAAAGATGAGTGCCAATGGCTTAGAACTCTTGAAGACATGGCCCGCAACCGGAATCAATGGAAGAATTGTGTACAGTGTTGTGTTGATTCACATGTTTAATTCTACAAAAATTGAAAATGACAAAAAAGAGAAAAACCGGCGTGTGACAAACAAACTAAAATGTTTCGTTATATTTTTTGTCAAAATGTTCCATTCTTCTTGCGGCATATTAGCTGAAGTGTGTTGCCCACCTTCAACTAGCATGCCACGATGATTATAACGCAATGACCCTCTTATTCACTGATTTCCATGGTTTTGATTAGCTCTATGTCTAGTTACTAGACTGTTGAGATTAATAGTACTACTACTATTTTATGAACTGACTGGAAATTTTCTTTAAGAAGAGTTATGTGGGTTCATTTTTAGCACAAACCCCTTTTTCGGTTTTGTTAGCGTTTTATGGTAATGTACACTTCTAATCGTTGTTGTGCTCGGGTTGCGTGTTTTTTGCTCCATCGTCAACCAAGTGTCTCCTTGAGTTGAAGTGGTAATCGATGAGTATCAAGCAAGGAGCTATCCTGTGCTTCCAAACACAACAAACAACACTTCGGCGTCATCTCGGTTAGACGTGCCTTTACCCTTGAAGCTCGCACTGTAAGTTGACGACTAACCAGGTTTCTTCGACCAGACCCATTGATAGTTATGCCTTGTCAGAAACGAAAGGAGCTGGTCTACTCGAAGACAGCGGGGTGTACC